TGGTGCAGGAATTATGCATCAACCTAATATTTCTCGTCGTTGTTCAATATCGATAATATCGATTTTTAAATTTGTGTTACGGGGCTGGGAGTAGGTACAGTGGGATAAGTGGGTATGCTGAACGGAAATAATAGTGACCGGGCCGGGCGGAGCCGGACCAGCTAGTCGGTCATAAAATTTAACCAGTGTTAATCGCAGTTAGTCTATTCAGGATCATAGCATGCGGCTTGTTCCAGACCCACTATTCTTGCGCAAACATTAGCAACAAATCTTTCATCAGCGTGACTTACTTCGCCAAGGTAGCCAGGTGAGTGTGATGAGTAGGAAAGACGAAAAAAGCCTTTTGATTTTAGCTCAATCTCCGAATCTTTAATATTTATCGTGCTGGGTGTAATGTTAGTCAATGAACAGGAATGGTTCTGGAGTGATTGGCATCCATTATTCTCCTTGTATTCAGTCGTTCTTTGCATTGGCGTGCGTTTTCTGGGTGTGTAGTTAAGGAATTTCCAGATTGTATCCATGCATAGATTTTCTGCAGAAAGTTCATTTAAGTTGTCTTCTTCCTTACCTACATCGTGAACCGGCTAACAGGAGGTGTTCGCCACATATCATTCCAAGAGCAGTTTATAATGGCAAGGTTTTATCTCTCCAAGCAACTCAGATTTACTCTAGAATTACTAGAACCCAGCTTTGAATTTGCCGAACTAAATCCATACGAATAATTTTGGGAGCATTCATGAATTACTTGATTTTCTACAGGCCTACGGAGGACTAAGAGGAGCGGTTTCATTCTCTCTAGCTTTTATGATCAGTGACAGCGTGCCGGTGAAGAACACAATACTGTCGGCAACCTATATGGTTATTTTGTTCACGGTGTTTTTGCAGGTATGAGGCTCGTTCTTTTTCTTGGTGCTTTCTAACCTAGTCGAATAAGTGTTGCTAGGGAGGAACAATAAAGCCTCTAGTGCGGTACTTGAATATTCGCTTGGCTCGTAAAGAAGTGCATTTCCGACTGTTCATGGAATTCAATAGAGGAATGATAGTGCACATGACGCAGGGAATAGAAGATCTCTGTGGTTATAAAGACCGCAGCGTTGCCGTAATTATCCGTATCGTTTCTGGGACTAAAGAACGCTCAGCTGGTTCATTTAGCATCAGCTGAGTGTGTTTTCGAAAGCGTACATACGGCCGATGCTGCAACGAGGCTACAAAAACGAGCAGAAAGAGAGTAAGCTACTGGAGATGAATCGATTCGAGACGATGAGGTGCAACGATTAGGCAAATGAGCCATTTGAGATTACATATTTGCTAATTGAGGGAACTAAAGCAAAGTCCATCTCAAAGTTCGTTCAAGTGGCAGCAGGCTGTTGATGAGCTGGCTGAAAGGTATGCGCATATTCAAAAAAA